GCATTTTTATTCATTTGAGGGCTGCACATTTTGGTTTTAACCGCGAAAAAGTCTATTACATTGCTTTTCATGTGTAGATATTTTTATCATCAGCATCATCGTGTATTAGCATCAGCAAAAAAACATTTACACCAAATACCATCTTACCATGTATATTTCTTTGAGTGGTTGAGACACAAATTGGTTTGCTATAAGGACCTGGACCGGCTATCGTAATTGCTCTCACGGAAACAGAGTACATTGTTGAAGGCAATAGGCCGGTGAAAATCGTAGATCTCCTATTGGTCGATTCAAATATCCAATCACCGCTTTTTATATCTGCACATTCGTGTTGTGTCAAATTGACGTCATATCCGGTGATGTCACAGGTTAAATTGTCCATTGTTACAGGACCCCAGGACACAGCAATTGAAGAAGAGTTTGACGAGATAGCAGAAACATTCGTGGGACCGGACATCGGTGCTAAAAAGAACCAAGGCTGTAAGCAAGCAAGTATAATTTTACATCGGAATTTAGCTATTTGCTCCTCTTTAGAGATTGTTTGATACTCAAAATTCCATATCCATTCGGGCATTGCACTTGTCAGTCCTCGTGATTGGTAGAACTCAGTCAGCAGAAAAAAATGCAAGCGAGACTCATCTTTATATAAAGTGATAAATATTGAAACACTTTAATGCTGTTGTAAATTTCTGTGTGTGATAATGATAATTAGGAACAAGTGATCGGAGACAAATACATCATGAGGTTATTCAATCAATGACAAAATCAACACTTACCATTTTCAATTCTTATAGTGGCGTTTTTACTCGGTGGACCGATGTACTTGGAGTTATTAACTGACACCGTTACACTGTACCACGTACACTTTTCTAGTGACKTAATATTCCACGTGTTGACCACACCTACGTCAACATTCTTTGACTGGCCTTTGTTTGTTGTGTAAGTAACTCTATAACCTGTTAATGGTCCGTTGATAGAATGGTTTTGTGGATGCTGATAAAACAAGAAATAGCCTCTGATTAGATTCAGTCAATCCAGTCTTTCTGTGTGATGTTCTCACCTTCCACGTGACTCTGATAGACTTTGATGAGAGTGTCTGCAACGTAACAACGCTATTGATTACCTGTGGAACTAAGGCAAAAAGAAATATAATATACAAGATTATACCAAATAGGTCGACACTTGAACGATAACAAACCTGCTATGTCAGTCTGGATGATCTTGTTGTCGCTCCATAATCCATAAGGGACAGCCTTGACTCGTATTTTATATTCAGTGTATGGTTGAAGTCCTGTGACGTTTTTACTTGTATTCCGTAGACCAACCTCGAATTCTCCTTTTGTASTTACGTCCAAAAGGTAGCCAGTGAAAAGTTGATGTAGCTTACGACATGGTTGAATAGTCCATTGTACGAATATTGATCGTTCAGAGGGTGTGGCGTTAACACGTGGTGCTTCTACAAAATTGACAGCATCAAATGATCGACATGGCGATATATATGGGTAATACCGCTGAAATGTTGCAACAACGTACCTTGATTAATGAAAAACACGTTGACTCTCATCGTCTTGTCACCACCGAAAAATTYTACAGGTAAGAATCTTATGTATCGTGCTTCTTGGATTGTCTTTAAATCATGACGAACTACAGTGTTGGCGGTCATTGTTTTGTACTTTTTGTCTTTATCGGTACACCAACAGTCCCACGGCGGGTTGTAATGATATTTGTAACACTACAAAAAGTAAAACAAAAGTCCGACTGACAGCGTCAAGGTCAAGTCGCCTTTTAAGGAATGATGGTGCTAATTAACCTTCTTTGCTTTTATTTGAAAAAATAATTGCGTTTACTAAGGGACATGGTCCACAAACATGCAATGCGGTYGTGTTTTAGATTTTTCATATATGGAAAATGAGGTGACTGACTTCGAATATCCATTTGCAATCCGTTTCCATCCATCGGTTTAACGGTCGAATCTTAAAGCGTCCCCATTCATATAGGA